ATAACAACATCCACTGTAAACCCAAGTGACAGAAAAAGTAAATGTATAAAAAAAATCGTTTTTTAAACTTAAGAGACACCTCTCTAGGAATTTCTAGGTTCTCCAAAGCAATTCTGTGGCCAATATCTGCCAAAAGGTGCCCATAGAATTGCCTTAGAGGACCTACAAACACCTAGAAAAGAAATCCCTCTAGGAATCTCTAGCTCCTCCAGTGTGACTTCTGGCGGGAATTGACCATAGATTTGCACTGGAGGACCTAGAGATTCCTAGAGGGACCCTATTAATAAAATCCATGAATAATCAAATCTGTAAAAGTTGAAGCCGCCAATGTGGTAAAATAGGAAATGTGCGCAAATCGTGAGCGCAACTGATAACGCTCTCTGAAAAGTCAGTTGAGAAGTGTGCACTTTTCAGCTTTCGTTGGCTAGGATCCCGTCGGGTATCTTATGCGCGTATAAGTTACAAAAGCCGTCGGACATTGTTGTTCAATGCAGGATCTCCACATTCAGTTCCACTTTGTGGATCTAGTGTTATGCTTGTGATTCACATGCAGATGTGCATGCACATGGATGTGCATGAAATGCCAATGCACATTTCTTGAGCATTAGCTTGCACACTTGGCTGTGCGTTCAGTTGCACTATGTTGCCATTCGTCACAAGGGCTGCAGAGCACAATCGTTGTATAAATCCACTTGTGGAAAATTACATTACCAGACTCTACAACTGTTCCACTTTGGCAGGGACAATCTCGACTAATCCGATATCATCCCACTTTTTCAGCTGCTTTTAAAATGTCCCGGTTTCTCATCCTTCCTCCTGTTTTGTCCTCAGATTAATTCAGTTGCATCAAACTGAGTTCAAAGTGCAAAAGTCGTTTGTACATCGAAGAATGGGAAAAAGTTACAAACTATTTAACTCAGAGGTGTGGGGGGTGATAGTTGAAACAGATACAAAGAGAGGGAAGGAAAATAATAATAATAAAAATAATATGATTTTGGCTAACCATCAAAAACTTAACAGGATAGAGTCGGTCCCTCTTCTTTTGGCCATGGATTCTGCTATAGAGAAAATCACTGATGGCATCCTGACCACACTCTGATGTGGTCTCCTTAAAAATACCAGTTTTGTGTGTTCTTTCTCAGGAGTAACTTTTGCCCTCTTGCTGCCAAGACGCACCCTTTGGACCACAATCCAATGTGGCTAAGCCACATATGTCCCATTCTTCATCCATGAGATGTTGGAATGTATGGAATATTCCCACGCATATAGTTGTAGTTTTATACTTTCTGTATTACAATTCCCATCATCCTGAGATCAGGGAGTATATGAGACTGAAGTGTCTCTGTAGCAGTACCCCAATTGTGGAACCCAAGATTCCCCCAAAAGGGACTGATTCTATCCTATTGAGCTTTGATGCTTAGCCAAAATCATATTACCCATTGATCGCTCCGATCCCAGCACCAGCCCATTCAACAACTGAGGCCGCGGGTGGAAGGAGGCCTCCTTTTAGCCGCGGCCTCGGCCGTTCGCCTTATAAGACGCACCAACTTCCCCACCCACGTTTTGGGGAAGAAAAAGTGCGTCTTATATGGCGAAAAATACGGTATTTTGGATAGTCTTTGGAAATTGGTTCTAAAGCTGGATTTTTACAGTTGTTTTTGAATTGTTGTTAAAGACTGCTGGGTTTTTTTAAAATGAGTTTTAAACGTTGGTTTTAAATCCATTTTGAAAGAGGCCTTTGAAGGAACAGAGGGAGTAGTTACGACGCTAATGATCACGATCGGTGCCAGATATAGCTTTGCCACATCATTGTGAGCTCGCTTACAATAAAGTTACTCCATCTTGGATAGATGATCCTAGGAGTCGAAAATTCTTGTACGGCTTGTGGCATATAAACAGCTAAGCTCTGGAAATGATGGGCTGTTTAAAGGTTTCTCATTCTCTACTAGCTAAAATCTCTGATCAGCTGAAGATGGGGGGAAAACAGAAGCAGGGAATCACAGGATTGTAAAGCCAGAGGGATCCTTGAAGGTCATCCAGTCCAACCCCTTGCTCAAGACAGGATCTCTCTTGATCCACCGTGACCGATGGCCATCCATCCAACCTCTGCTTTAATGCCTCCACTGAAGGAAAATCTCTCTCCTGGCAAGAGATGTAGATTTGTGGAGAGGATTTTTAAAAAGAAATCCTTGAGGCTACATCCGCACTGCAGATGCTACAAGAGCCGTAGGTTGCCGACCCCTGATCTACACTGTAAAAATAATTCAGTTTGACAACACTTTAAGTGCTGTATTTCCGTCCTATGGAATCCTGGGATCTGTAGTTTTACAAGGTCTTTGGCCTCCTCTGACAAAGAATGCAGGTGCCTCACTAAACTACAAATCCCTGTAGGACGGATCCGCCATGGCAGTTAAAGTGAGGTCAAACTACATTATTTCTTTCTGTGTAAAGGCACCCTTCATTAACTAAACTCTAATTAAGTAACTAATACCAGAATTTTTAATTTTATTGAGGGTTTACTTGCATTTTAACATTAACCTTTTTAGTGTTTTTAGCCATATTGTATTTGTTTCAACTTGTAAGCCACATCAAGTCCTGGTTCGGTGCAGGAAAAAGTAAGGAAAAAGGTCGAAGTTTCCTGAAATCTGAAATAACCCAAAACCCAAACCTTTTTTG